TGTGGCTCATCCGTGCTATTGCTGGTCATCTTGACCTCAAAGAGCAAACAGAAGTCCTCTGAAATGGCTGCAGAGGCACCGCCGTGCAGCAGCTCCCTCTCTCAGAGTAGCTCCACAATTCTTGTGTCCCTGCTGGCCTGCAAGCTTCTCCTGTAAGCCAAGTAGCCAGCCCTGCTGCTTGCCTGATTCATCTCCTTGCTGTTTATTCAGCCTTCCAAGTGACCCTGTGTCCTCCGCTCAGACTAATTAGTTAAGTCCAGCTCTGTCTACAAAGGACAAACCTTTCATGACTTTCTGAAAATCCTCCTGTTTGAAAGGTTTGAATAATCTGAAAGAAAAAAAGTAATTTACTGCATTAAATTTCACAGAAGTTCTTCATTAAAATAAACTACTGTTGTAGTTCATTGTCTAGGATACAGTTGTAGAACTGCCTTTTTTCTTTGAAACAACTTTACTTCTGCTGGCTGGGTGACAATGAGGTTTTCACTCCTCCTGCTTCGGCATCCTGTTCTGCTGGAGGTAGACAGAGGCTGCAGGCAGAAGGTCATAGATCTGGCTTCCACACCCTGCTGAGCTATTCAGCTGAAAAACTGGCCACGTTGCAGAACCATTTTGGGTCAGATCCATGGGTGTGGAGACATCACTTACAAATACCAGAATCCTTCTCTGAAAGCACTCTAATCCTGATTTATCAGAGCCAAGCCTCCCTTTAGATAGCTATGGCTGCTGTTCTGGGTTTCTCAGAGCTGTGAAGAGAGATACTGTTGGAACATCTCCATAGCCATAGGCACCGAAATTTTGCAAGAAATACTTTTTTTGTGGTACCTGACTGCAATTTCTGCAGCTAATAGAGACATGTAAATGGGAGGGATATAATTTAGCTCCAGACAAGCAGCCTCTAAGTAGAGAGCTTCTAAGGAGAGTAGCCTCTAAGGAGAGAAGCACTAAGGACAGCAGCCTCTAAGGATATAAATTAGCTTCAGAGAAGCAGCTCGAAGTCTTCTGTCAAACTAGACAATTTAACCAATACTCCTTTAGGTTTAGAAAAATAAATCTGCAGATATCTTTGCCTTACAAGTAAGACCAAAGGATCATTCACTCCAGTGATAAACGTCTGAAACAGCGCTGATGTAACAGCTAACGTAACAGGTTATAGGAGAAATTGTATTTCCTCCTGACTGTGGGAGAAAATCAGAATGCAGGAGAAAAAGAGCACATAAGCCAACCAGGTTCATAGCGGCGAATGCTGTAAGTGCGACGACATCTGTCTCTCTGGGCTGTTTGAAGGACATACGTGAACATTGCCCTCCCATGCTCTGTCCCTGTTGCCACTCTTCCCTCCATTCTGCCTTCATTGGCAACCAAGTCTTCCACCTTGCGTATTGCAAGTATCAGTGCGCAGACTTGTTGATACTAGCAAAAATTTGTTAAAACCATCAATGGTGTCCCTAGTTGCTATACTTTGTCCAGCAGGGTAGTGGGGAGGAATAGCCTATTCTGAAAGCACAGAATTTGGAATTTGTTTCAGACTAGTGATCGTTGCTTCCTTGCCAAGATTTTCTCTGGCCATAAATCGATCTGATATGGCCTTTGGTAACATATCAAGTCTGGATCGTTTTTACCAACCAGAGGTTTTTCCAAAGAAGTACAGACAGGCTAACACCTAAAATAATGGTCATTAATAATCATTTTAGAAAATTTAATGTACTTACAGGCACGAGTGCCACACTATTGGGTCACCACTACAAATTTCTCCTTGCCTTCTCCAATATGATGCATGGATGAGTGTACAACGAAGGGAAGCTGCATTGTTCCACCAGGAATAAGAGCATCAGGCACAGAGGAGAGAAATGGAATTTGTTCCTTAGCATGTGTAGGCTTTGTGAAGCCTGCAATGCCTTGCAACAGATATTTCAAAAAATTAGAAGATTTCAGCAAAAGTTCTACTTGTATTTCTGATACTATCAGGGTTTAGATTCCTACTTGCTGGTTTTGGTCCCGTACTTATGATGTTCCATGTCAACATACCTTGAAAATATTTTCTTTCCACTCTTAAGTTACTAGAAATTATTAATAATAAACTCCTATATTAAAGTTCAACATAAGAAAACAGGAGAGAATTTGAGTAAGCACGTGCTCCTAATACCCAGGAGAAAGGAAAAAATGCAAGGAATAGTGAAAAGAGAACTGTTAGGAGCAAGCAATTCCCAAAACACAGAAACTTAAGAAGCTAGGTTTTTAATGGGTTTCTGTGTCAGAGATGACTATTAAAAATGAATTATAGAAAAGTTGTGGTGTGAATTCACCAGGATTAGACATGGAAATGGAGAATGGATTCAACAACTGAGGACAAAAAACCTTCAGCTGGAGTTCATGTCTTTTCATGCAACCCAGAGAATCTCGTTTTTCTTTGGGAGTGAGGGAACTCTTCTCCCATGTGGATCCTCTGATACATCAGCAGAGCTGAACTTACACTACATTATCTGCTCCCTCTTACCCAGCTGTCTGTCTACAGCATGTGCAGGAATGTCATGGTTTTGATACCGTAACCTCCCTGCCCTCTAATTCGAATTGGACAAAACCCAAAAGGTATTAGGAGTACTGGCAGGACATATGTACTCACACTTATGCACGTATGGTGTGTGTGAAGAAGTCTTGGTTCTTTAGTTAGCCAAGCTAAAGTCTACAGAAATTTCGTGTGACTTAGCACAACATTATCCATATAACGATGTGGAGAAAAACAAGCCCCAGCTTTTGGTGTAGCTCTGTGTAGCCCTGTTCTGTATCGCACACGTCATCGGACCTGGAAAAGTGCCTGCAGTTCTGGACAATGAACTAAAAGCTTGAATTATCTCTTGTTTTTATTGTACAATAAATTACAGAGCTTACTATTCCATTCTCCATTTATACAGTTTGGAGGGAAAGCTAGTGAATGGACTGGTGAGTGGACTAAAAACCTGTTGTTTAGGTCATTTACACAGAGTGTATGTTTGTGCTGGGAAGACCAGCAAAAATGATTTCCATAGTCTTGAGGAAACACCCTTTTATTGTAGAGAAGTTTGTATACACAGATGCGATGTATTTACAACTAGCTTTTCTCAAACAGATGACTGTTTAAAATCCTTCACATATCTGTCAAGAATGAAAGAAAATGAAGCTCAGAAGCCCAGCCAGCCAGCCAGCCTAACCCCCAAATTCAGATTAATTCCTGAAGACAACTGTAATGAGATAACAATACATGGAGTTATTCTGAAGGAAGCAATAGGACTGTGACAGAGATCAATGGATGGACTTCAGGACCGGTTCAGTTAAAAACATTGCTTAGTTTGATCTCAGAGTAGATGAACCGCAAAGTAAAATCCCAAGAAGCAGATGGGGACCTGCTTTTTTCCAGGGGTGTGGAAGAGACAGGCAGAAAGAGCCTGGCCCTTCCTTCCCTGGCCTCTGCAAGGACAGGTCACAGCTGCAACCTCTGTGAAAAGAAGTTATTGGTCCTGTGTTCCCCTGGAAAGCTCTTTTCCAGAAAAAGGCAGGAAAAGCTCCGCTCTTCTTCAGTCTGCAGAATGGAGTCAATGCACTGAGGCTAAGGATGGGTGTCCTCCTTAGGAAGGGTGCAGACTCACATGACAGCCCAGGCACAGGAGAGACGGCACCTGGATTTCTCCTGGTGCCCCTCCAAACTGTGGCTCAGCTCTGCACCGCCCTTTACCTGGTGTGCAATGGCATCGGTCTAGCTTCAGCCTGTTCAATCTCCCCAAATGCAGAGGAGACAACACAGAGGGAAATGATGAGAGGTAGAGACACACATTACAGTCCCTTTTCCTGTTCCTTTTCAATTAAAAGTAGAACCTTCATCAACAGCAAAAAGTTACATGTGCAGGAGGCACTTCTCTGAGGAAGAAATAAATACCTCACACAAGCATTCACGGGTGGATGAGTCCCATGAGAAAGATTCCCAGCACAACCAGTTCAGTCATAAAAGGAATCTAAAATCCTCACGTCAATGTATATGTGAAACACACAAAACATATCTGCTAATGCTCGAGGGTTACATGCATAAGTTTCCTGTAGGTCGGGAACATATATCTTAGAATCTGCATAATTTGGTTCACAATTAGCAGAACATTGCGATATTTACAGGCACATTCCAATGGGAAAACATTTGCATATTGAGTGCGAAAGACACAGCTTTGTCACCTAACCATGGGACTTTAAAGGCAGGGATTTTGTGACCTCAACGTACTACTTGTGAAGTTGGTGGGGAGGAAAAAGGTGTGTAGGCAGGGAAAAAAAATTATCAGAAGTTGGTAAGAACTCTTTGTTTTGAGCGTTAGAATGGTTGCAGGCTGGGACAAAGTGAGTCTGTGCAGGCCACGGGTTCTGGCTTGTTAGACACCATAGAGTGCTTTGTCTACTCTCATTTCCCATACTTACTCTTCCCAGTTAAATTTGTTTCCCATTAGCCAGATTGATGAGAATAGTGCGTAAGACTCCTTCTTCTTCTTGCAATCATCATCCTTCATAGCATAATAACTTAATAAATTCTTGCAGAACAGGAATGAAGTGGAATGTCACTTTTTTGGACTTGGTCTGTATTCTGAAGGTGAAAGTGGGCATCTGAGAAATACATTTGTAAAGCTTTGAAAGTTTTATAAATAAAAAAAAGTTACACTCCGAACCTGACTGAGAATGCAAAGTTCTACGTTCTCTAGCACTGCATGTCAGACATGGTGGAAAAGCTATTCAGTGACTACTGTAACCTTAGCGCTACCCAGAATTGTTCTGAAAGTAGTTCATTAGTTTCTGAAACACTACTGTAGTTGCAGCAAATTATTAAAACTATCTACATAATTTTAATCATACAATTTAGGTTTCAATATGTCAGCAAAACAGCGATGTATAACCCATAGAAGTTATATCTCGGAAGTGAAATTATCAAACTATTGCTCCAATGTCTGAAAAGTAAAGCTATCCTCCCTAGGTACACAGCACTCTCTCACTTATGCTGACACGTAAGGTGGTGGTGGATCTTTAGCAGCTCCATTCGCAGGATCATCATATGGTGGCAACAGGACCTGCAAGAAAGGAAAAAAATGTTTATATTTTTTAAAAAGAAGCCAGCTGATAAAATTTGCAGAAAAGAACTCCCTTAAGGGCTTGTCCTAAAAAATGAAAAAAAGACAGAGTAAATTAGTAATCAGGAGCAGAATAGTTAGAAAATGAAGGAGTATTAGCTTGAAGTTCCTCCTTTTCAATTTGTGTGCCTGTTTTCATTACAAAGGAAATATAGTTTCTTCTCATTTCTTATTGTATGCAGTGACAGCTTGATTTCAGCCAAAGATCATTCATTGCTAATACCTGAATTTGTTCAGTCTGGCAGTGACAGTAGCTGCTTATTTTGCAACTCTCCTCTGTCAAGAGCGCTCAACTGCTAACTGAGTGAGAAAAGTCCCGAAAAACTTTCTTTCTGAGGTCTCCCTAGAATAGCTAATAATTATTTTGGGGTGGGGAGAAAGAAAGCAAATGGAGAAAAAATTACCCAATGTCTAAATAAATCTCCAGTTTTGTGCTTCAGGGGCACTCAACCATGAGAAGGGAGACCTACATTCCCATAAGCCCTTCAGTGAATACTTAAACATTGGATAGAAATTAGGACAGCTTTAATCATCTATCATCCCCATTCACAGGAGTCCAGGCAGCTTCCTCAGACATGGGAGATGCAAGTTCAGGCCACACAGGGCAGAGGAAGGATTTGAGGCAAGATTTCCACTTCTTTAGGCAAGCATGTTAGCTATCATGCAATTTTTAATGGAACCAGCACTGACATTAATTAGCTTGCATGTGAAAAAGTAAAGGAGCACTTGGTCTGAGAATCCCAGCAGAGACCGAGGATAAAAGAGATGTGTGAATGAAGAATGAGTGTATATTCCCTAAAATATCTCAGTATCATGTCAGAGTATCAGTTGTAGTGCACTGGCAGAGATACTTTATGCAGCTGAAGATCAATTATTCATGATGGAATTTCCAGATTTATCAGCATTGCTTCTTGGTCATTAAAGAGCACAGAAAGCTGATTGTCTGAACATACATAGGGAAAATCCTGATCTCAAGAAAGTCAATGGAATTTTTGCTGTGAGAGGATTTCACCAGTTCTTAAAGAAGCTGATAACTTGCCTTCTGCAAAGAAACATCCGTAATCATCCCTTTTGGACTTCATTTGCAGCATAACAAAACCAGTGGGAATCCTTCTATAGTTTTAAACAATAGACTTTGGATCAGGCTTTTGTGGGATAGTTCCAAGGGTGATTCACATTATACTTATGTGAGTTTACAGACATGTGTTGATGACCATGTGTTCAAGTACATCTGTGCACATGTTTGATAGATTACAGAATGACTACCTTGGCATCTTCAGCCTTTAATCAAAAAAGTTTCATTATTTAGAAAAGGAAATTGTCAGATCCATCACTCTTTATTAATGCCATATGTTTGAGCTTGTAAATGCAATATATGATGCACACTTCCACTACATAATCTAAAAAGCCTTGTATTGAAAAGCATTTAATAAGTTATGTCAACTTTAAAGGGTGCAAACAGCTTATGACAGACTACTTATGTATTGAAATTAGGACAACATACAGAACTTCAAATAAATATTGTGACAAAAATCATAAATGTATTTTGCAATGCATTTACATATGTAAATCACACAGCTAAAGCATGTAAACTGTGAAAAACACTACAGTTGAGATCCTCTCCCTAGTGCTAATCATTAGTTTAATAACATTCTAGTAAAATCCTTGTGTTACTAAAAAAAGCACTATTTTCTCAGATGTGCTGAAACATTAATTGATTATGAAGCAATATAATTAGTAATTAAATCTGATCTACAGATGACTCTGAAAATGAATCAAGTTCACTTTGTGAAGATTTAGCTGTCTTATTGCATTCTTGTAATGCTGAGCCCCAAACTGTGGTCCATCCCTTTCAGGTTCAGAGTCTATTTCATCAGGCATGATAAGAAACGACAGCAGACACAATCCAAAAAACTGTCCAGCTTCCAGGTCTACGAGCTGATTAATAAAGGACAATACCTCTTCCCGTGCTGTGATCCTCTGTGTCCTAAGACTACTGTAGTTAGGTCAATTCAGCATTGAGGTTACTGTCATTTGCAGTAGCTCTCCTGGAGGATTTACTGATGTGAGTGACCTTCTTCATTCCCTTCACTCCTATATGAAACAAAATCTGTCTGGTAGGACAACAGCCTCCTGGTGAGGCTTTTACCTCGTGGGAGGTGAGCACTCCACTTTGCTCTATGGTCCCAAAACTCATACGTGGGTCAATGGCCTCAAGGACCCTCAGAAGACGCTTTCTCACTTATCAACAGCTCAACAAGAAGTGAGGGGAGACAGGAATACCTACAGGAGCCATTTTGGAGAAGCCACTGGCTAAATCCTAAGGCATATGGATTTCTATAGGAATATTCAAGGCATGTGTGGCATGAGTTGGGGAGGCCACTAAAAACCTTCAGAAGTTTCACAAGAAAATATCTACAGCGGAAGGCTAAAGAGTATTTGCCAAATATCTGTAAGGCTTAGTGTCACTTTATTGCTGGCAAAAGTTACTTCTCTAAACAGTTCTATCAGTGATGACTTCACAGGCTTACTCCCTACACATTTTTGTGTTTAAATATTTAAATATCCTGATCTTGCATTCCCTGTCATGAACAGAATAGTGATAAAAAATAAAGAGTGTAGAATGAGTAGAATTCAAAATTACTACCTTTGCCTGGCAGTGCTTGAGTTAAACAATGAAAATATGGACAGGATATTAAACTATGTTTAAGATGAATGAATGTGATGGACAACACGTGGAAGAAAGCACTCAGGAGTTTGTGGAATACATGGCACTGGCCGGGACCGCAAGTATCTCAAGTCATTAGCATAGTAAAAGTCCTTTAAACTAATTTAACTGTTTTACTTTCAGTCAATGTAGTTTTGTTACTGTTACTTAATCATCTGTCAACTGTAAGTCTAAATAATCATCCTTCAGCTTCCATGACAGTTTGAATAACTCTTCAACCACTTCATAACTACAAATCTTGCAACACTGCCTCTGTAAGACTACCTTTTAATTATTTTAGACAAGAACAGAGTTTCAGGCCATTACTTTCCCTTAATATTTTTTTCCATCTTTTCTCAGTTAAGTCTATTTTGGCAAAAGGGAGAAATATGATAAAACCTGAATTATCCCAGCTATTAAGTCTTTATTGTTGAAATGGCTAACAGCTTACAAAAATCTCAAGGAAAAGAGAATTCCATTAGACTTTTTAATCATTGAATTTATACCAAAGTAGTTGAGATGAAAATCTGGATCAGAGTAGTTTTCCCTTCTCTTGTGTTAATTTTAGATCTCAGCATGGTTTAATGGAAGCAGATAAGTGCCTTGGACATAAAACAGCATAGTTATTCAGGCAGTACGTTATGCTCTCCAGAGACATAAAATGGAAGCCAGTCACTGAGCCAAAGGGTGAATTCAGAAACTGGAAAAATAGACAGAAACTCACTATTCAGACTTATCTAAGAACCTAATTAGAATGGATGCAGTCTAAAATAATTCATGAAGGACAAAAATATATGCATATTTTAGGTCCATGGTATCCCCAAGGCAGAATATCCACTAGGACAACTGATGCATTTTGCTTTCTATGCACTACATTTGAGCATTTCCTTGCTTGTTTGTTGTGAATTGAGAAAAACTATGTTAGTTCCCCTGGATGCTCTGGGACTAATCTTTAAGATTGTCACTTACAAGTTACTATACAAACTAAGTACAAAGGACTCACATTTTTTGGAATTCAGTGATCCCTGTGAAAAGAAGTTCTGGCTTTTTATCAATAGACCAGCAAGCAAGTTTGGAGGATTAGATGGTTGCAGGGTTCAGTCCTACAGGATGCCTAAAATCCAAAGGACAGAAGGTCCTAACTTCTTTCACAACCCCTATGACTGTGTTTAAGAACCATGTAGCATTTTAACATCATCCTTTAATATGCAGCCAGAGGAGGAGGTGACATTACTCACTGTTTGTGTAGTTGTCTGGTGGTAAAAGCATTGCACAGAAACTCTGAGATCAGAGCTCTAAGAGCTCCCAAACCAAGAGGGTTCAAACCCACAGCTCCTATCTGCCATGTGAGTGCTCCAGACACAAGGTTTTCACTTAAGTTGGAAGGACCATTTTCTACCCGCCTGTTGCCACAGTGAAGCCAAGTATGCAAGAATCCATGGGGAAAGAAAGAAAGAAAGAAAGAAAGAAAGAAAGAGAAAGTAAGAAGAAAGAGAGAGAGAAAGAAAGAAAGAAAGAAAGAAAAGAAAAGAAAGTAAGAAAGAAAGAAAGAAAGAAAGAAAGAAAGAAAGAAAGAAAGAAAGAAAGAAAGAAAATAGGAGAAAGGGTGGCTATGTAGCCCCATGGTTAGGGTGCTTAAGTGGGACACGGAGTCTTGGGTCCGTATTTGCTCCCAATACCATTTAAGCATTTTGTGATAAGCAGTCTTGTTGTATAATATGCAGAAATAATCCAGAACTGACCCATAAGAAATCCTGGTCCTGATTTAGCTGGTGTCATCCAAGTGGTTTGGATAATTGTATTACATAAGCATCTCTCTATTATAAAGCACATGATACAGGATGACCTTCTCTGGAAGAAATAATTACCACACAAGTTTGCCGATGGCTATAACATATTCAGTTAATACAAGCATATGTCATTTCTTATTTTTTACATCCTGGTTAATCTGGTTTTGGAGAATAAGTTTGTGAAGATATTGCTTAGAAATATGCCTAAGAAGAAACACAGGCAAATATTTGTATATTCAAACTGTTTGGAATTAATCTTGTCCCAAAGGTGTTCTTTTGGGGGGAATTGCATAATTTCAATAATCTTTCAATTTTTTTTTCAGCTGATTCCACATTTACATGAACTTCCAGTAGAAAATTTTCTTTCTTCAGCATATGTACAAATTTTCTCATATTGCTGCAGTTATTCCTGTTTGTACTCAAGCTCTCAGATCTGTTTGCTG